AAGGAAGAAGCTGTTAGTGTTAAAAATGGAAAGGATTAAATGAAAGTTTATAGTCAAGGTTATTCCCTCCACCCTTTGGAAATACATGTGTTTCAGCTCAAACTGAATGCAAAAGTGAAATTACAAGGCTACCGTACTGTTATTTTCCGCTGATATTTGCAGGTTGTAACTACTAATACCAGCCTTGTTTTCCTGGTGCCAGAGAATACCATCTCAAAAAGCACACTTTTCATACAGACTCAGGGGTGTACAGTTGTCAGGATCTGAAGCAGCAAAGTTCAACATTTAATTCTTTGAACGGCTGTGTTTTCCAGATCATGCTAGTTGCTGGGACTAGAAATTTATCACCATTTTACAGTGGCAGTAGAAAAGGTGTCAGGCTGCAATCATGTATTACACATTGCACTAAGCTATGATTTGCTTAACTGCAATTTATTGAATAAACCACAGTGGGATGGATTCACAGAACCCGCAGAGGAACAAATTGTGGTTTGCAGACCAAAATGGCTGGGTTCACATGTCCTAACCCCAAACCAAGCAAAGAACATGATTGCTTAGCATATTACATGAGTCCATGTATAAAGGCAAAAAAGAGTTAGTTCACAGTGTGCCACATAGGTACGTTTGGCAGCACCATCGCACATTGAGAGGCATGTTTTTTATACCTGATTGGACTTATGAACAAAATGGACTTATGAACAGCCTCTTGGAACGTAACCTGTTCATAAGTAGAGGACTGTACTTGGAATATGCTCTGGAGTGGGCGGGGGGATTGATTTCTTGCAGGAAGGCTGCATATTTGCAGCTATGGCTTATGGGAGGCCAATGCATCTGGCCTGAGCCAGTCACCACAATGGAGATTGTGTCCATGTCAAGGGCTTCTGCCTTCAGTGACCCAGATCCAACCTATCTGCCTGGCCCCTCTCTGTCTGAGTTGGAGTCTGCCCCTTTTCCTCCCACTTATAATTTGCTTGCTGAAAGAATCTTTTTTTAAACTAGAAAACACGGTAGGTAACCTCAGTTCTGACAGTGGTCACTCCAAGGTTCTCAGCTTCACCACAATGACTAAAGTAAATACTACCGTCCTTAAATCTCTGCTATTTTCACTTTTGGGGAAAAGCAAGAGGAGCAATTGCGCCACCTAGCAGAGAGTCAAACATCTGAAGATGCTACTATATATGTAGAGAGAGAATATAAGCGCAGTGTTTCTCAACCTTGGTAACTTTAAGACATGTAGACTTCAACTCCCAGAATTCCCCAGTCAGCCTTGCAAGAAGCAGGGCTGGCTGGGGAATTCCGGGAGTTGAAATCACACGTCTTAAAGTTGCCAAGGTTGAGAAACATTGAATTACAGTGTTTCCTCCATGAACTGCTATAGGCACAAATCAGAGCCATTTTAGTAATAAGGCCTCCTAAATAAGGAAACAACATTCTGTAGAACCAAAAACGTTTCCTTAATAAGCCCTGATGGTTGGAAAAGCCATGTTAATTCTAACAGCTTGTGGATGCTAGTTTCTCATCTTTATAGGAGGAAGATGGAAATGTTCAGGCCACTGGAATGTAACCAGAAGCATGCCCTGTTTGACTGGGGGAAGATAATTAACGCTTATAAGCCTAATGCTACATTTTCCCATTAGGATAAGTCACACTGCTTACCCATGGTTTTTTGAATCAGCTACAGTTTGTTGGGTTCATACCACCTGCAAAGCGAGGATTCTCCACTCATTTTGACCTGGGAAATGTATTTGAGATTTTAAGACTACATATGTGATTTAGCCATACACCACAATGCGGGCCACAATGCAGGATAATTTGACTAAATGTTTCTGTAGTAGGGCCACCAGGAAAAATCAAGTTGGATGACCAGATTTTGATCAACCAGGTCTGGTAGCTCCACTGTATAGCCATGGATATGTGCTTAAACCCAAATTAAAGCAGCAAACAAGGCTATGTATTTTTAAAAATAATAACTATAATTATTCCACAATGCAGAAATGACTCCCCCCCCCATTTATTTAGCAATTTATGCCAAGGGCCTTTTTTGGCTTAATTAGTAATATGAAAAGCACACATAATAATTCAGTTAGTACAGCAAACAGACTGGCAGCACTTTTGATAGCTGACGCATTTTATTAGGCAGTAACAAATTGGTTATTACATAAAATGTCTCAAGACTTTACTCTGCTGGAGCGAAAATGCTGGATCCAGTCTTCCTTGGCTTGCAAGCTTCCAAATATTTTTCGAAGAGTTTAAAACAAAAAAAGTTGTTTTTTTTTACAAACAGTATTTAAAAAAAAAAAAAATTGAAACAAAGAAGCCAAAAAATTGCACAAGCTTGTTTTGCGCTGAGTCAGCATATCGAAGGTCACCAGATAAATAATATTTACCAGTTGGCACCCTGGGTTAAATCCTGATTCACTTGACCAAGATTTATTAAATAACCCCAACTTTCACAGGAGTAAAGTAAAATCTCCGGACTGCAAATATTCGGATGATCCACGAATGACAGCAGAGATTTATTTTACTGTCTCTTTGCTGGTGGCAAACTCTTGGTGCTTGCGATTTCTGACGCCCAGAGATGGGAACTCTAAAATAAACCCGAACTTACACATTGCAGTTTTGGGTTTACGCGCACTGTAGAGAGTGCTGTATTCCGGCGTCGCGTGTGAATGAACCCAACCTTACCCGCACGCAAAAGGAACTGGCGCGTTCCTCTTACACCACAGCCTGTCCCATGTTTTTGCAGGCCCGCCCGCCCTCGTCCCCGGGCCGGGATGGCTGCGCGCGAGTCCTCCCCAGAGAAGGCGCGCCTCGAGCGGGAGGCGTGGGTCCGCTGGCGTCTCGGG